GCAGGTGACAACCATGGGTCAGGGTCTACTGGAGGGACCATGGGGTATTACACTGAACAGACAAGGTCATGTGATGGTTTGTGACAGTGAAAAGAAGTCCATCTTCACATTCCATGCAGACAGTGGACAGCTCCTGAACACTATTCCACTCAGTATGTGTGAATTCCCACTGTACATCACAGTGAACAGTGTGAATGATAACATTGTGATATCAGATGGGTTTGGACACTGTGTACATGTGCTGTCACCTACTGGTGATCATCTGTACCAGTATGACTGCAGCAGAGAAGGCAGTAAACTGAGGTATCCACATGGAGTGTGCACAGACAGCTATGGTCACATCTTCATTGCTGACAGTGGTAACCACAGGATAGTGGCACTGAGTCCACAGGGACAGTTTATCAGATACATTGTCACTAAGGATGATGGGTTGTTGTCTCCCACTGCAGTAGTCATCAACCCTGCTGGTCAACTGGTGGTGGCAGCGACAGTGGGCAATGTTAAGACATTCAAGTACGTTGAACTGAAACAAGGTGAGTAACATGTATTAACTGTGTGTAGATATGATTATTATGTAAAATATTTGAAAGTTTATTAGTCTTACAATGTTTTTATCCATGAATATGTTTGCCTTTATTTCAATAAAAAACTTTTTAAGCATATTTAAATTCAGTGAGCACACAGCTGTGCTTTAGTAAAAATGTATGTAGAGTGGAGACATTTTCTATAGTTAATACTTTACTGTTTCTGACCAATTTCCATGAACCCATTAGTGATTAGGATTTTGAATAATGATGAAGAACTCTTTTTAATGGAATTTATAGTATGCTTTATTTGTATTTTTATTAAGTCACAAGAAAAACATCTTACATTGTTTAATCCCTGAACTTCTTGTCCATTTGTCAGTGAAGAACAACTCAAGTCTCACAACAGAACAGTCCAATTCTTCATATTCTTCATCTTGTAGCTGTTCACGAAAGCTTAGATATACCTCAATATATCTCAAATGTACTTTGTCAAGTTTCTTGATGTCTTACCACTTCTAGATTCAAAGACATTTCATCACCAGTTTGTTGTTAACACACACAAATAAATTAAATGTTGAAGTACTTTGGATGATACCTTATTTTCCTGACTTTGTGGATTGTTCTTTGCAAATAAAACTAGCAGACGACCATTTTTCATGAAATGGAACTACTTTTCACAGGAAGTAGTGTATTCATACACAACAGTGACCTTGGGTTTGGAATACAAAAAAATAGTACATGCATTCATACTGTTACAGCATGCAAATTATAATGAAATATACAAAACTAAACACATTTTTATGTAACTCAAAAAGTTAAATGCATTTTTATTTATTATTATTATTATTATTATTATTATTATTATTATTATTATACTGGATAAAAATGTTGATGAAATGGTTTTGACTACCTTTTTGGAAATGCAGCTTTAATTTTTCAGGTCAGTTTTCAGAGGAAATCAATAGACAAGACCCACTACTGCAAGAAGCATATCAACGAGCATGTAAGGATGGCTTTGAAAGAGTAAAGAGGGCAAGGGTGATGCTACTGGGCCATTACGGTGCAGGTAAAACACGCCTGAGAAAACGGCTACTCGGAAAGGAATATGATGAAGATAAAGATCCAATCACTAATGGTATAGAAACTGACTACGTTCTTGTAAAGGAGGGTTGGAATTCAGATGAAGCTGGTAAGAATAACTGTACAAGAATTAAAAAGTGTTTCAATATTGAAATTCATTTACTTCATATATTTCAACTCTTAATATACGACTTGAAGATTTATTAATCTGCAAGGACAATTCTTTTAATTCCTCCTTGTTTATTATTTATTAACAGCAACTAGATCACCTCAGTCTCT